GCGCACCTGGGAGCTCTGGCTCAGCTTCTTCCCATCCTTGTACCATGTCACTTCTGTCTGGGCCTAGGCCACCTCGCAGCTCAGAGTGGCACTCGCCCCCGCCTTGGCCTTCACCTCACTGAGTGCCAGCTGCTCTTTAGCAAACACCACCTTGGGCTCTGGGGACAGAGAGGAGTAACATGCAGGTCAGGGACTCTGTCCAGGGCAGGAAGCCACCTGAGGAAAGCCATCTGGCTAGACAGCTGAGGACAGACCGTTCTGCAGGCCACACTAGCTCGTGCCCTGTAGAAGCAAGGCACCCTCAGCACAAGGGACCTCAGTGTGTGACACAGCCTGCCCCTGCTGCATGGGACTGCTGCAGGTGGGAACACTGTGACAGATTTCTGCACAGGCTCCTCCCTGGGGATTATGCACCCGCCCATGACCAGCAAGAGTCCCCCCAGGACCATGCAGGGCATGAGCTCTGCTGGGTCACCCAGTTCCTGCCTGCTATGAGCCTGACAGCTTCTCTGGTGATGTTCGGCCACTCCTGTGCCTTATCCTGAGGCCCATGTGGCTGAGGCTTTTCCTTTTCTAGCCAATGGTGCTTGGTCTCCCTGCTGAGACTTGTACTCAGTAGTCAGTAGTGTGAGCTCTCCTTCATGTTTGTTCTGGGGCTTGTTACATATTTCAATAATAGTCCTTCATTTCAGGAGACATATGTTGATCTGCCTCTGTGGGCAGCACCATCATGTCCTGTGTAGGAACCTGTTACCCTGGGGTCATACAGGATCCACACCACCTGCTAAGAGCTGGTTCTACTCCAGGTGGGAATCTGACGCACCCAATTGATGACTGTGTGTGGAGAGAGGGAGACGTCACTTCCATTCTCTTCCATGCAGACCTGTGGCTGAGGTCTCCACACCACTCACCTGACAGCCATCCTCTTTCTGTGCCCCACACCCTTGCCATGGTAAAAGGTGCTCTGAGGATGCTCAGGTCTCTGGGCTCCATGTTCTATTCTCCTGGCCCTGTCTCTATGCCCTTGTGGTGCCCAGCTGTCTTCTGTACTATGGCTGAAGAGTACGTCTGGGTTTAGACAGATTGAATGTTCTCTCTTTGCTCATGGTATTGTGTCTCCACCTGGCCTTTGGACTCAACTTGACAATCTTCACACTCCCTGAAAAAGAACTCTGTGGATCATCAGGAGCAGACTTTTCTCTGTCTTGTACACGTTTCTCAAAACTGACTCGTGTCACCTCTGTGTCTCCCTAACATACTTACTAATTTGTCCTCTGAGGCCTTAAATATGCTTCCTCTGCATGCAGTTACAACATATGGTACTGGGGATGCTATGGTAGTTCTGTTACTTTCTGACTCTGCAGCTCATCTACAGACAGAAGTGTTGACCACCGCCTCTGTGGAATTTACGCTCACTTTACCCAAGCTGTGAGTCTCTGTTTGATATTCCTCCTCAGTATCTCATGAGGCTGGACACACTGTCATGTGGCCCTGTTGTCCTTAAAAGGGAAGTGCTCAGAGTTATGCTAAAGGGTGGCGATTGCTGCTGT